GACAATAATAATAATCGTGGGAATGATGAGAGGGAGAGAGAGCGGACGAGGAGGAGGAGGAGGTGGAGCTGGAGGTGGAGGGGTATGGCATCTTAACAAAGATTTATGATGGCATTTTGTTAAGCCTCACTTGGCCAAAATGGAAAACAATGAAACGGCGAATAATACAGCTAATGATCGGAGTGTGGATAAAGAGATTCGAACAACAACAAAAATCCGCAAAACAAGTTAAACAATGAAATTAATTTTTTGAGGGGTAGACAAAGCGGCCATTTAACGTGGCTAATGACTTCTGTCAAAATGAACAATGAACCATTGACAGGACGATTAAGGCAACATTTTTTCTAAGATATTCTAAATCATTAATTAGGGATAAAATATTGAGAAAAATAGAGAGGAGGAGGAGAGGGTTCAGAACGTAAGACTTCTATAAGCCGAAGACCCTCCCTCTGTAAATTTTCTATAAATAGGTACCCTAGAAGATTTTTATATTTTTCAACCTCAAACTCGGTTTTCTATGATTCCTCTAAAAATCCACAATGACACCTCCTGTCATTATTGCTGAAAAAATTTCAACAAATATTCCGCCACCTAGGGAGTGATGTGTCATACCCAATTTCAGTTATTTCAATTTAAAATTTTGCCATAAATTTCAATTATCTGTGATTTATATTTCCCCCTGCTCTCTTTCGCACTACACCCCTCTTTAAACCCCATACCCAGGTCTAGTGTGTTAGTTCCTTTAGGGAAGCTATTCAAATGTTGCCAACACAACAAACAGCACGTGCAACGACATTTCCGCAGGAAGATATCACTTCTCGGGCGCTTCCTTTGAAAAACAAAAAAGCTAAATAAAAAACCGGGTAGGCGTTTTTGTATTCGTGCGGAGGAAGTCGAAGTTTAAGTTGAAGGTGAAAAAAACTGAAGTGTTACTAACACCGGTCAGGAAATATTTACGGAATGCTGCAAGGAAGTCAACCGCATACACATTTATTTTAATGGGAATTATACAAATGTGTAAAAGGGTGGAGTGGTATTAGAAGGCCTGGATTTTTTAAAAAAATGTTATAGGCCATTATAGACCTCTAGAACACCTTAAGGCGTGGATTTTTTAAAGAATTTTTATAGACCTCCAACAGGCCTTGAGGCGTGGATTTTTTAAAGAATTTTTAATGGCCTCCTGAAGGCCTTAAGGCGTGGATTTTTTAAAGAATTTTTATAGACCTCTAGAACACCATAAGGCGTGGATTTTTCAAAGAATTTTTATAGACCTCTTTAAGGCCTTAAGGCGTGGATTTTTTAAAGACCTCTTTAAGGCCCTAAGGCGTGGATTTTTTAAAGACCTCTTTAAGGCCTTAAGGCGTGGATTTTTTAAAGACCTCTTTAAGGCCTTAAGGCGTGGATTTTTTAAAGAATTTTTATAGACCTCTTTGAGGCCTTAAGGCGTGGATTTTTTAAAGAATTTTTATAGACCTCTTTAAGGCCTTAAGGCGTGGATTTTTTAAAGAATTTTTATAGACCTCTTTAAGGCCTTAAGGCGTGGATTTTTTAAAGAATTTTTATAGACCTCTTTAAGGCCTTAAGGCGTGGATTTTTTAAAGAATTTTTATAGACCTCTTTAAGGCCTTAAGGCGTGGATTTTTTAAAGAATTTTTATAGACCTCTTTAAGGCCTTAAGGCATGGATTTTTTAAAGAATTTTTATAGACCTCTAACAAGCCTTAAGGCGTGGATTTTTTAAAGAATTTTTATAGACCTCTAGGATTTTTATAGACCTCTAGAACACCTTAAGGCGTGGATTTTTTAAAGAATTTTTATAGACCTCTAGGATTTTTATAGACCTCTAGAACACCTTAAGGCGTGGATTTTTTAAAGAATTTTTATAGACCTCTAGAACACCTTAAGGCGTGGATTTTTAAACGGATTTTTATAGACCTCTAGAACACCTTAAGGCGTGGATTTTTTAAATAATTTTTATAGACCTCTAGAACACCTTAAGGCGTGGATTTTTCAAAGAATTTTTATAGACCTCTGGAACACCTTAAGGCGTGGATTTTTTAAAGAATTTTTATAAACCTCTAGAACACCTTAAGGCGTGGATTTTTTAAAGAATTTTTATAGACCTCTAGAACACCTTAAGGCGTGGATTTTTTAAAGAATTTTTATAGACCTCCAACAGGCCTTGAGGCGTGGATTTTTTAAAGAATTTTTATAGACCTCCAACAGGCCTTGAGGCGTGGATTTTTTAAAGAATTTTTATAGACCTCCAACAGGCCTTGAGGCGTGGATTTTTTAAAGAATTTTTATAGACCTCCAACAGGCCTTGAGGCGTGGATTTTTTAAAGATTTTTTATAGACCTCCAACAGGCCATGAGGCGTGGATTTTTTAAAGAATTTTTATAGACCTCCAACAGGCCTTGAGGCGTGGATTTTTTAAAGAATTTTTATAGACCTCCAACAGGCCTTGAGGCGTGGATTTTTTAAAGAATTTTTATAGACCTCCAACAGGCCTTGAGGCGTGGATTTTTTAAAGAATTTTTATAGACCATTAGAACCCCTTAAGGCGTGGATTTTTTAAAGAATTTTTATAGACCTCTAGAACACCCTAAGGCGTGGATTTTTAAAAGGATTTTTATAAACCTCTTAAAGGCCTTAAGGCGTGGATTTTTTTAAAGAATTTTTATAGACCTCTGGAACACCTTAAGGCGTGGTTTTTAAAAGGATTTTTATACACCTCTAGAACACCCTAAGGCGTGGATTTTTAACGGATTTTTATAGACCTCTGGAACACCTTAAGGCGTGGATTTTTTTAAAGAATATGTATAGACCTCTAGAACACCTTAAGGCGTGGATTTCTTAAATAATTTTTATTTTTTTAAAAAGATTTTTATAGACCTCTTAAAGGCCTTAAGGCGTGGATTTTTAAAAGAAATTTTATAGACCACCTTAAGACCTTCTAACCACTTGTTTCCTGTGGCTTTCATTCCTGTGGCTTTATTTTCCTCCCAAAAAATCTTCTTTAGTAGAACTTTCTTTATTTTCCTGCTAAAAATAATTGACTCTAAATTATGCGCATTAATTTGATAGCACACTTCAAACTTTTTGTCAATCGGCTGTGAATGTCTGGTGTAATTCGATTTGTATTTTAACAAAAGATATATAAAAATAAACCACAACAACAATATAGTTAAACAACTTTATTAAGGACATATCACGGCAGACAATGCGTAGAGAACGAGGGAAGTGAGGGAGATCCCTCTTTGTCTCCCCTTCGGAAGAACAAAAACAGCCGCTAAGACAGCTACAACAAAAGACCAAACAAAACTTTGATTTATTTCATCAACAAACATTTGGCAAAAAACTTTTGGCATCCTCTCTCCCCATCTCCCTTCACAATCTGGCTGAGCAGCACAAAAAAAACAACAACAAAAACTTTGTCATTTAGCCAAAAAAAAGTTTGCAGGCCTCTAAGTTAGTGTGAATTTCGTTGTGATTGTCTCTTTGTGTGTGTGTGTCTTTCTGTTTTTCTGTCTGTTTGTCTATCTGTCGGCCTGCCTGCCTGCCATGTCATTTATCCATTCACCCATCCATTTTTGTGTCTACAGATGTCCCATATATCACTTATTGCGAAAAAAAAGTCTTTTAAGCGAGACAGAGACTGAGATAAGCAGACATCACTATGTGTGTGGGCCTCTGTGTGGGAGTATATGTGTGTGTTTGTGCGTGTTTTCCTCTGCTTGACTACTCAAGTGTGTGGTGTGTGTGAAATGATAACATCTGTCGAATTGCCCCGAAACAAAGAAATGGCTGAAGTTAAGACACAGTGTAAACTTTATTTACACTTACACTTATATGGCTCTCCCCCCACCGCTCTCCCCTGACCATTTCGTGTGAGAGACAAACGATAATTATAATGAAATTATGCATACGACAGCAACAACACCACGACCACTATAGCCGACAACGACACCCATCAACACCTATTTACACGAAGACGACGACGACGGCGACGACCACAAGACAACACTTAAAGTAGTTGTTTGAAACAACTACTTCTACTTAGGGGAGAGAGAGGTGTCGTCTCTCTCTCGCCCTCTTAAGTGTGGTTTAGTAGTGTGTCTTGTTGCTGATATAGAGCAGGCTCGGGCAGAGAATAACAAATTTGCGTTGCATTGTCGTTGTGTGCGTGTGTGTATCAATGGGTTTTCACAGTTGTTTCGATTGAATGTGCATGAGAGTATGCTGTTATTTACTTTCGCGAGAGAGCACGCGTGCGGGGTTTTGCCTGATGTGGATATAGGGCGCAGCACTTAGCTAAGCATAATCTAGTGATTATTCCCCTACATCCAGCCACTAATACAGGGAGCTTAGACACAAAAACACACACATACACGCCCACACTGCCATACACACATTATAGAAATAATCATAATAAGAATGTTGTGCCATTTTTTATTGTGTTTTCTTTGTAGTTTTTTTTTTGACACTCTATTTATAATGAGACCCAGCAATCACTAACACCCTCCCTCTCTCCCTGCCAACATCTCTCCCTTTTCTGAGTTCCCTTACATGTTTTATTGTTTTGCCAAATCATGTTCATTTCTCAAGGTGTGTGTTGTCACACAACATCACAGATGAACGAAGTGGATTCCAAATATCTTCTTCCTTTAGCTATTAATAAAAATTAAATTGTTTCCAAAAGAGAAAGGGGGCGGGGAGTCTACAGATGATGATGAAAATGATATCTTCTCCATTGTAATGGAGGAGTAGAGAGTAAAAGAAAAAAATCATTATTAATGACAAATGAAATGAGGTGACATAAATAACAAATCGTGAGAAGAAAATTATCTGTTTTTTTTTCTAGGTGAGGATGGGGGAGAAATAATTCACTTTCATTTCTAAAGGACCAAGAAGATATAATGCACTATAAGTTCTAAGACAAAAATTTATAAATATTGTCTCTAATTTTTCTTTGATTTTTTTTCTTTTTTGTCATTGCAGAAAAAACAAAAATGTTGGACATAACGCGAGATCGACCGGTAAAGGTGGCCGTTAAAGTGGCAGTGCCCGTTAGGGATCATCCAAAGGTAAGTAAAATGGACTTCGAAGGTCTTACGGCATGGATTTTTAAAGACTTTTTATAGATTCCAAAACATCTTAAGGCGTGGAGTTTTAAAATAAATTTTATAGACCTCCAAAAGGCCTTAAGTCCCGGATTTTTTAAAGAAATTTTATAGATCTGTTCAAGGCCTTAAGGCGTGGATTTTTTAAAGAAATTTTATAGACCTCCAACAGGCCTTAAGGCGTGGATTTTTTAAAGAAATTTTATAGACCTCCAACAGGCCTTAAGGCGTGGATTTTTTAAAGAAATTTTATAGACCTCCAACAGGCCTTAAGGCGTGGATTTTTTAAAGAAATTTTATAGACCCTTAGCACACCTTAAGGCGTGGATTTTTTAAAGAAATTTTATAGACCCTTAGCACACCTTAAGGCGTGGATTTTTTAAAGAAATTTTATAGACCCTTAGCACACCTTAAGGCGTGGATTTTTTAAAGAAATTTTATAGACCCTTAGCACACCTTAAGGCGTGGATTTTTTAAAGAAATTTTATAGACCCTTAGCACACCTTAAGGCGTGGATTTTTTAAAGAAATTTTATAGACCCTTAGCACACCTTAAGGCGTGGATTTTTTAAAGAAATTTTATAGACCCTTAGCACACCTTAAGGCGTGGATTTTTTAAAGAAATTTTATAGACCCTTAGCACACCTTAAGGCGTGGATTTTTTAAAGAAATTTTATAGACCCTTAGCACACCTTAAGGCGTGGATTTTTTAAAGAAATTTTATAGACCCTTAGCACACCTTAAGGCGTGGATTTTTAAAGAAATTTTATAGATTCTTAGAAGGCCTTAAGGCGTAAATATTTTAAAGAATTTTTTAGACCACTTCAAACCCTTAAGGCGTGGATTTTTTAAAGAATTTTTATAGACCTCTTCATGGCCTTAAGGCGTGGATTATTTAAAGAATTTTTATAGATTCTTAGAAGGCCTTAAGGCGTGGATTTTTTAAAGAATTTTTATAGACCTCTTCATGGCCTTAAGGCGTGGATTATTTAAAGAATTTTTATAGATTCTTAGAAGGCCTTAAGGCGTGGATTTTTTAAAGAATTTTTATAGACCTCTTCATGGCCTTAAGGCGTGGATTTTTTAAAGAAATTTCATAGACCTCTTCATGGCCTTAAGGCGTGGATTTTTTAAAGAAATTTTATAGACCTCTTCATGGCCTTAAGGCGTGGATTTTTTAAAGAATTTTTACAGATTCTTAGAAGGCCATAAGGCGTGGATTTTTTAAAGAATTTTTACAGATTCTTAGAAGGCCATAAGGCGTGGATTTTTTAAAGAATTTTTATAGATTCTTAAAAGGCCTTAAGGCTTGGATTTTTTAAAGAAATTTTATAGACCTCCAACAGGACTTAAGGCGTGGATTTTTTTAAGAAATTTTATAGACCTCCAACAGGACTTAAGGCGTGGATTTTTTTAAGAAATTTTATAGACCTCCAACAGGACTTAAGGCGTGGATTTTTTTAAGAAATTTTATAGACCTCCAACAGGACTTAAGGCGTGGATTTTTTTAAGAAATTTTATAGACCTCCAACAGGACTTAAGGCGTGGATTTGTTAAAGAAATTTTATAGACCTCAGAAAGGCCTAAATTTGTATTTTAATTTTATTTATTTTTTTCCAATTTTCTAGCCCCCCATTGAATTCGAATGAAAGTCCTTCCATGCCCTTGTGTCCTTATCTATTACACATTTTGTTTTCGTTTTTTTTTTTTTGTATCATATTTATTTCACATTAACACAACATCTTCTTCTTCTTCGTCTTATCTCCATCAATTTATTTTCCTCCGCTCTTGCTCTCTTTGACAGTTCAATTTCGTTGGCAAATTGCTCGGGCCCAAAGGAAACTCCATGAAACGTTTACAGGAAGAGACCATGTGTAAAATGGCGGTGCTCGGTCGCGGTTCGATGCGCGATCGTAAAAAGGAGGAAGAGCTGCGCGGCAGCGGTGACAGTCGTTATGCACACCTCTTCGAAGATTTACATGTGGAAATTTCAACATTTGCTGCACCGGCGGAAGCCCATGCTCGCATAGCGTATGCCTTGGCGGAAGTACGAAGATTTCTGGTGCCGGTAAGTTCAAGAAAATAACAACAACAACATAAAATAATAGCAACAACAACAACAACAACATCGTCATCATTTGTGTTGTGATAAAAAAAGTTTTGCGGTTACATGTTTTTTTGTGTAAATATAAGAATTTATGTAATAGGAAACCTTGTACCTTACGAACCATGGGAGGTTGGGAGGCGGGTGGTAAGACCTGCCTGCCTCCTGACAAATCACTTAAAAAAGTAAAAAAAAAACAAATAATTTGCGTAATTACTTTGTTTGTTGGTGTTGCAGGAAAAACGATAGAGGTGGTTATTAATGCACAGCCAGGCTGGGTTTCTGTTGCCGGGGTGGGTCGATGTGTAGTCAGGATGCATGTTTGTCTGTAGTTTGCTGAAAGTTTCTGACATCTGTGGTCGCACACAACAACCATTGCAACTAATTGCAGTTGTCTACATTTTATTTTGTTGTTGTCGATGTTGTTGTTGTGGGGCTCACACATGAGTGCCTGGCTTAGTGGAGGAGGATTCTCGAAAGTAACATTTAATAGCAAAAAATTGCAGCAGGGCCTTAACGATATTTTAAAGAATTTTTATAGACCATTCGAAGGCCTTAAGGCGTGGATTTTAAAATATTTTATATACCTTTTCAAGGCTTTAAAGCGAGGATTTTTTAAAGAAATTTTATAGACCATTAGAAGGCCTTAAGGCGTGGATTTTTTAAAGAATTTTTAAAGACCTCCTCAAGGCCTTAAGGCGTGGATTTTTTAAAGAATTTTTATACCCCTTCTCAAGGCCTTAAGGCGTGGATTTTTTAAAGAATTTTTATACCCCTTCTCAAGGCCTTAAGGCGTGGATTTTTTAAAGAATTTTTATACCCCTTCTCAAGGCCTTAAGGCGTGGATTTTTTTAAGAATTTTTATTGACCTCTCAAGGGACTTAAGGCGTGGATTTTTTAAAGAATTTTTATAGACCAATCGAAAGCCTTAAGGCGTGGATTTTTTAAAGAATTTTTATAGACCAATCGAAGGCCTTAAGGCGTGGATTTTTTAAAGAATTTTTATAGACATCCTAAGGCCTTAAGGCGTGGATTTTTTAAAAAATTCTTATAGACCTCTCCTTGGCCTTAAGGCGTCGATTTTTTAAAGAATTTTTTTAGACAACCTCAAGCCCTTAAGGCTTGGATTTTTTACAGAATTTTTATAGACCTCCTCAAGGCTTTAAGGCGTGGATTTTTTAAAGCGTTCTTATAGACCTCTAACAGGCCTTAAAACGTGGATTTTTTAAGAATTTTTATAGACCTCCTCAAGGCCTTAAGGCGTGGATTTTTTAAAGAATTTTTCAGAGCCATTCAAAGGCCTTAAGGCGTGGATTTTTTAAAGAATTTTTCAGAGCCATTCAAAGGCCTTAAGGCGTGGATTTTTTAAAGAATTTTTCAGAGCCATTCAAAGGCCTTAAGGCGTGGATTTTTTAAAGAATTTTTCAGAGCCTTAAGGCGTGGATTTTTTAAAGAATTTTTCAGAGCCATTCAAAGGCCTTAAGGCGTGGATTTTTTAAAGAATTTTTCAGAGCCATTCAAAGGCCTTAAGGCGTGGATTTTTTAAAGAATTTTTCAGAGCCATTCAAAGGCCTTAAGGCGTGGATTTTTTAAAGAATTTTTCAGAGCCATTCAAAGGCCTTAAGGCGTGGATTTTTTAAAGAATTTTTCAGAGCCATTCAAAGGCCTTAAGGCGTGGATTTTTTAAAGAATTTTTCAGAGCCATTCAAAGGCCTTAAGGCGTGGATTTTTTAAAGAATTTTTCAGAGCCATTCAAAGGCCTTAAGGCGTGGATTTTTTATAGAATTTTTAATGGCCTCCAGAAGGCCTTAAGGCGTGGATTTTTTAAAGATTTTTTAATGGCCTCCTGAAGGCCTTAAGGCGTGGATTTTTTAAAGATTTTTTAATGGCCTCCTGAAGACCTTAAGGCGCGGATTTTTTAAAGATTTTTTAATGGCCTCCGAAGGCCTTAAGGCGCGGATTTTTTAAAGATTTTTTAATGGCCTCCGAAGGCCTTAAGGCGTGGATTTTTTAAAGAATTTTTATAGCCCTCTTTAAGGCCTTAAGGCGTAGATTTTTTAAAGATTTTTTAATGGCCTCCTGAAGGCCTTAAGGCGTGGATTTTTTTAAGATTTTTTAATGGCCTCCTGAAGGCCTTAAGGCGCGGATTTTTTTAAAGATTTTTTAATGGCCTCCTGAAGGCCTTAAGGCGTGGATTTTTTAAAGAATTTTTATAGCCCTCTTTAAGGCCTTAAGGCGTGAATTTTGTAAAGAATTTTTATAGATTCTTAGAAGGCCTTAAGGCGTGGATTTTTTTAAGAATTTTTATAGACCATTCGAAGGCCTTAAGGCTTGGATTTTTTAAAGAATTTTTATAGACCTGTTCAAGGCCTTAAGGCGTGGATTTTTTAAAGAATTTTTATAGACCTCCAACAGGCCTTTAGGCGTGGATTTTTTAAAGAATTTTTATAGACCTGTTCAAGGCCTTAAGGCGTGGATTTTTTAAAGAATTTTTATAGACCTCCAACAGGCCTTTAGGCGTGGATTTTTTAAAGAATTTTTATAGACCTCCAACAGGCCTTTAGGCGTGGATTTTTTAAAGAATTTTTATAGACCTGTTCAAGGCCTTAAGGCGTGGATTTTTTAAAGAATTTTTATAGACCTGTTCAAGGCCTTAAGGCGTGGATTTTTTAAAGAATTTTTATAGACCTGTTCAAGGCCTTAAGGCGTGGATTTTTTAAAGAATTTTTATAGACCTCCAACAGGCCTTTAGGCGTGGATTTTTTAAAGAATTTTTATAGACCTCCAACAGGCCTTTAGGCGTGGATTTTTTAAAGAATTTTTATAGACCTGTTCAAGGCCTTAAGGCGTGGATTTTTTAAAGAATTTTTATAGACCTGTTCAAGGCCTTAAGGCGTGGATTTTTTAAAGAATTTTTATAGACCTGTTCAAGGCCTTAAGGCGTGGATTTTTTAAAGAATTTTTATAGACCTCCAACAGGCCTTTAGGCGTGGATTTTTTAAAGAATTTTTATAGACCTCCAACAGGCCTTTAGGCGTGGATTTTTTAAAGAATTTTTATAGACCTCCAACAGGCCTTTAGGCGTGGATTTTTTAAAGAATTTTTATAGACCTCCAACATTTTTATAGATTCTTAGAAGGCCTTAAGGCGTGGATTTGTGTCCCTGCTTGTGGCTATGTCCTTTTGTATTTACTAGCCAGTAGCCACTGATTATGTGTGTATGTGTGTGCGGTTCGCTTGTTCGGAAAACCCATGGCTTCATTCATATATCCAACAAAATAAATGTACATGTTCAAGTGTCCATTTGATAAAGTAGACAAATACCCACACATCCACTCAATCACACACACACATAAATACATACACATATTTATACCTATTTAAGCAGAAATATATTTATTTGTTTTGCGGGTTTGAGTGTGTGTGTGTGTGTGCGAGTTCGGAGAATGGTTTATGTGAAGTATTGCAACTTTGGCCATTAAATATGGTTCTACACAACACTTGTGACAGTTGGCAATGCCTTGGCATGTTGTTGTTGCTGTTGTTGTAGTCCTCGTCATTGCCATACTGTTGCTGCTGCTGCTACAATTCCATCTGTCATCTGTAACGTTTATTATAGGTTAAAGAGAAGGAATTTATATGTGTATATAAGGGAGTCTCGAGGACAATGGCTATATTTTTTTTAATTAAAAAAATATATTTTGGATTTCACTACGTTCTTAAATTTTTGAATTGATATTGTTCTTTAATTTTTTTTCGAGACACCCTAATACCCATTCCATATCAACAACACATAGTTTGCATGTGGTTATTCTCTAGTTTGTTCAATTTGTCAACCAATGAAATTTTAATAATGTTGAACAATAACAACATCAGTAAAAGCAGCAACAACAACAACAACAAAAACACCACCACATATCAACCTGTTAATTGTTAAACTCTGACAATAACAAGTGTAGTACAGCTAACAAGGGCAATAAATTGCCACTCATATGTCAAAACAATAGCAATGTTATAATAAAGATAAAGAGAGAGAAGGAGAGATTATTATTAGAGCCTTAAAGGATCTCTGAAAAATTCCTTTAAAAAATCCACGCCTTAGAGCCTTAAAGGATCTCTGAAAAATTCCTTTAAAAAATCCACGCCTTAAAAAATTAACGCCTTAGAGCCTTAAAGATCTCTGAAAAATTCCTTAAGGCCTTTAGGAGGGCTATAAAAATTCTTTAAAAAATCCACGCCTTAAGGCCTTTAGGAGGGCTATAAAAATTCTTTAAAAAATCCACGCCTTAAGGCCTTTAGGAGGGCTATAAAAATTCTTTAAAAAATCCACGCCTTAAGGCCTTTAGGAGGGCTATAAAAATTCTTTAAAAAATCCACGCCTTAAGGCCTTTAGGAGGGCTATAAAAATTCTTTAAAAAATCCACGCCTTAAGACCTTTAGGAGGGCTATAAAAATTCTTTAAAAAATCCACGCCTTAAGGCCTTTAGGAGGGCTATAAAAATTCTTTAAAAAATCCACGCCTTAAGGCCTTTAGGAGGGCTATAAAAATTCTTTAAAAAATCCACGCCTTAAGGCCTTTAGGAGGGCTATAAAAATTCTTTAAAAAATCCACGCCTTAAGGCCTTTAGGAGGGCTATAAAAATTCTTTAAAAAATCCACGCCTTAAGGCCTTTAGGAGGGCTATAAAAATTCTTTAAAAAATCCACGCCTTAAGACCTTTAGGAGGGCTATAAAAATTCTTTAAAAAATCCACGCCTTAAGGCCTTTAGGAGGGCTATAAAAATTCTTTAAAAAATCCACGCCTTAAGGCCTTTAGGAGGGCTATAAAAATTCTTTAAAAAATCCACGCCTTAAGGCCTTTAGGAGGGCTATAAAAATTCTTTAAAAAATCCACGCCTTAAGGCCTTTAGGAGGGCTATAAAAATTCTTTAAAAAATCCACGCCTTAAGGCCTTTAGGAGGGCT